CATGTAGCATGTCCATTGGTAAGACTAAGAACTCCTAACTCGGTTGTTAACAATTTTATAATATTAAACCAAGATTAAAGTTAGTTTAGAAGTCCATTATTGTTTTTAAAAAAATTTCTCCTCCATTGGTTAAGAACCCCAAAGTCTTTTGTTACAAAAACAGCAAAAACATATCTCATAGTGAAACCTAAACAAAAGTTTTCATCTTTACAAAACAGGACACAGGTTTTCCTCTTTCATTACACAAACAAGCATTTACCAAAACAAAGGTTATCCTCTTTACAAACTAAACCAAAAACGAACACAAATAGTCTTATGTTCTTGTTAATTGGATAATGTACTGCCAAAGTCTGGATATTCTCTTGTTTCAGCTAGAGGAGGAATATTGTATTCCAGAGTCTATCTACTTGTTCCAGCAGCATGTTAATGATGTATATAGTTTAGTTTCAAGGCAGTATGTACATTGATCAGGATGCATAAAAGACTAACCATACGATGAGAGCTGCGAGGAGGTGGACTGGTGGGGCTTGAAATTAACTTCCACTCCTGTTATAGTCACACATGTAATACAAAGCCCCAAGCGCGTAATTTACCTATTACGAAACAAAACGACTCTTAGTTTCCATTTTAGATTAACACCGGAGGAACACTAATGATGCGAGAAACCCGTGTACTCACAGTGTTCCGGACAGGGCTGAATAGACATTTGATTATAAGAGGAATTCCATCAGCCTCGACAATGGTAGCAGCTTTCTTCGGCTCTGCACAAGAAGAGGAAAGAGCATGAAATTGATGATTATTAACTGCAATTACGGCAAACAACAAATAGTTTAGTTAGCATCAGAGTATATTCGCATGCTCCAGATGTTTTACCCGCACAAGCGTTGCATATGCCTCCTATCCCAAAGTCCACAAGCTTCTCATTTGGCTCTGTTATACAGTCTATGAATAGTTCCAACACATTTAGCTACTCAAGTAAACCACCATTACCATTTCATCACGAAGAGGATAAAGTCTGGGATATTTGGTTTCTCTATCGCAAATGATAAAACACGAGCAAACTCGAAGTTACCTGACGTAAAATCGTGTAGTTGTAAGGGTCATATGCAAAATTTGCCAAGTTTGCTACAATTCTCTCCTTTGTTTCTACAGGTGCAAGACAGTAAATCGTGTTAAGAGTCTTAAGACCATCTCCATTGGTAAGAACCCAATTAGGTTCTTAACAATTTTATAATATTAATTTAACATTAAATCAAGTTAAGAACTCCATAATTGTTTTGCAAATTTTTTTCACTCCATTGGTTGGGGTTCTTAAAAATAAAAAAAAATATTATTCACAAACCAAACCAAAATAGAACACAAGTTTTCCTCTTTTCATTACACAAACAATCATTTACCAAAACAAAGGTTTTCCTCTTTACAAACCAAACCAAAACAGAACACAGTTTCCAAACTGGATTTTTCTCATATTATAAAAAAAAAAAGTCATTAAGTAGATCCAAACCTGATTTCAACAACAGTTTTGAAGTCTTCTTCGGAAATCGAAACTCCCAGGAGCCAAATGCGCCTGAAAAGAAAAGCTAGTTAGACCATTGCCTCTAGAGACAACTATTAAGAGTATTATAACTGATTTTCTCGTGGTTAATGATGGTTGTATATTATAAAAAATGTAGTAATCAGTAGATAAAGCAAAACAAAAGATCACTATTATAGATTTCATACCGTGATGAAACCATGCCTCAAGGCTAAGTAATCAACTTTGGTAACAGATCCAAAGAACTGTCTGAAGAAACACACAATCCATAGCGTAACACTAGTCTTGCTCCAGAAACTGAGATGTCTTCGCCTTGCAACAGAAGGCTGCAGAAAAGTTTCGACAGTTTGGCATGCAGGAGATCATAGTTCAGGTTCAGGTCATGATGATTTAACAAAGAACATTATGCTTGTTTAGCAGCTGCTCACCATGTTCTTTATTTCTCACAAACTCCACAAAAATAATTTCCGAGCAAAAACTCCTCTTTAACCATGAAGAAACCTTAATCTCTAGATTATGGTTAATGTATTCTAACCACATGTTTCCTTTTCTACGAGCATGTCTAGCGTTTAGAATCCTCCATATCTTAACAACTTCACCAAGTGAAAATGTTCCAGAACTGAAATAACCAACTTCAGCTAGTATTAAGCATGTAGAGGCAACATCAGAAGCCGGGTTCTCCCTAAATTGTCCTAAATATACAGCTTCTTTTTCCCATATGGATGAACGTCAAAGCCTTTCTCAAGCACGGTCATGTATATAAAGAGAGAAATGGTTGATGGTACCTTCGTCTCTTTCCATGGAGGCACAAATTCCAGATTAGAGCGGCTGTCCTCAGGGACAAGAGGCTGCTCATCTTTAACCGGAATCTCCAAGACTTTGGCCACTTCTTCTTTCTAGTGCGAAAACTTACCACACCTTAGCTTCTTCTTTGAACCTACAACATTTTTTATACAAGCTACATCATCTGAAAACTTCAATTCCAATTCAATTATCAGAGATAAAGACATGCAAAGAAGAATCAAAAGCTTGTGTTCTGGTTAGCCTCACATATCAAAGCTAAACACTTTAAACCCATAAATTAAACACAAAGACATGAACTTTCTGAGAGATCAAAAGCATATAAGAACACAAACAAGTGACGAAGACAAGATGGGTCAGTACAAACAGAGACTCAAAGATCAATACTTTCTGAATCTCAATCACAATAGCTACAAACCAAAGCATAAGAAACACGATTAGATCCAAGAAACAAACGAACAGAGAGTAAAAAGATAGTACCTTTCACAGGTCCGATTTATCCGACCAAATCGCCACCAGAGAGAAATCCCAGACACAGCGAGAAACCGATATCGATGAACAATAAGCACGATTCCGATGACATCGCCGGAATCGGCTT